TTGATTCTCTCTTTCTCTCTATATATATGTATGCATGCATGCATAAAAGAACAATTAAGAAAAAACTTTAAGATGAACAGTGATATATTTATTTCGATAAATATAAGCATATTCCGATTAAATGCAGAGCTTAAAAACAAAAATATAAAAGAATAGAAAAATAAAAAAAATACAAGATAAAACCATAGCGACAATAAATTAAACAAGAAATGTTTTCTATGGTGGCTTACATTATACATAGAGAGAGAACAGAAACATAGTTAATGTAATAGGTTGGAGAATGTTAGGAGGTAGGAAGGTTACATTTAATACAGAGTTACAATATGTCAAATAAATTTAACAAAGGAAAAGGTTAGAATGGTGTGTATTTAAACTGTCACATCATACAATTATCACATCATAATACTAATGATATTAATAAATATATTAAAGGCTTTTTTTCCTAATTCTTCTTCTGATTTGCTCAGTCACATATATTGAGTCTTACATGGATTAAAATCCTCTTTGGAATAATCCACACCAATTAAAATGTGCGTGTGAGTGTGTTTTTTTATGTATAATGTGTTATTATTTTACGAAGAAACTAGAGATGCATTTATTTCTGAAGAAGAAAACAGAAAAAGTTAGTCTTATAACTTTTAATTATGATAGTTATTATAAATTAAAAAAAAAAAAATCTATAAAATCGACATAGGCAGCCAGCCTCAAACCCGCTAAAAAATGGTAGATCTTTGGCTTTTGAAATCCAAAACCCTCAGACACTTGAAAATATATATATATATATATATATATATATATATATATATATATGTTAGTTTTCATATATTTTATTGAAATGTATTATCGACAGATGTGCTGAGTGTGTACTTCGCTGTGGTTTCATTCGTTACTGATCGAAGATTAATCACTCGGCAAATGTTTTTCGATTGATTGGCTTTTCGTCTGAACTTGATAGTTTTGAAAGTAGCTGCATTCCTTGTATCGAAACTATATAATCCACTCAGATTGACAACTACTTGTGTGCAAATCTTTATGTGCGTAAGCAAAGAAATTGACATAAGTCCACTGTTTGTTTCGCACTCGAATATTTTACTCGGCTTTTTCCCTTGGTTAGATCTTCTTCGAGTTCGCTAGAGCAATCTTCTTAATTTTGTTTTTACCAATCCCTCAATAAGTTTAGTATTTCTCGAGCAATTTATTTTCTTCGTTATTGTTTGTGTTTCTCTTTTCTTTTTATTCTTCCGTTTCTATTTATTTCATAGAATAAATCATTAATAAATCTTTCTTATTTCTTCTGAATGAATGATTTGATTCCCTGCAATTCATTCCATTTTTGTTAATACCAATTCTCTATATCCAATATATATCTTCCCCTCGATCATCTTTTTGTAAATACTTCTACTGTAATTTTACCAAATTCCTCTATATTGTTTTTCACTGATTTTGTTTTAATTGCCTCAATTTCTTTTCACACACAATTTCTTTGTATTTTTTTCATCTATGTTTATATTTATTCCTCATGATTGTTATTATTCTTGTTTTCTCTTCTTTTTCAATTCGTTGCTATCAGTTATCTAATGAGGTATGTTATTGTCTCCAAGCTCTAATTCGTGAACGACTTGTCTTATTCTAGATAAACGCATAAAATAATTGTGCTTAAATTAGCAGAAACTCTAATTTAATCATCTATACCAAGGAAAAAAATGTATCGTTCAGACACAGACTGAGTTTAGATTAACAAATGCTCACCATGTTCAATATCAAAACCTTCTGTAGTGATCACACAACACATGCCATTTTAAATATGATGAATGTTATTATTAGAGTTATTTATGCCGAAATTTTAGAATATTATTCCTGACGAATTAATGGCAAGAAAAACGATCAGTTTTAAATCGAACGTCTAAAAATCTAGACCTAATTACACATGGCTAGGATCTGAATCACCTAATTTAAACCGAATCCTAATGATTTTTTGGAAATATAATTTTATGTTTCAAACTGCTACAAAGATTAAGAAGATAATCCTTACTATCAAGATCGTCAGTTAATCTTAGAAAAGTTCTTAGATTTTTAGATTCTTAGATTTTTTAAATTCCAATTTAACAATGAAGACAGCAGAACTTTAGTTTGACAAAAACTCAAAGTCGTAAATCAGAAAAATATCTTAAATATAAAATACGGGCCAAAGATGCTCTTTCTTTATCTGGCCAAGATATATTCCCGTGGGTAAACGGCGCAACATAAGGCAGATTTAGCATCACCCTAGGCTAAAAGAAGAAAAAAAAAACAAAGAAAAAAAAACACGACTGCACCGACTAGAATCTGTCTGACTGTAGGACTAACTGCCAATTTCGTCACTATGCAGTGACGTCAATAAGCGGCTGTCATCTGACTTCGTCTCTAACAAAGGGAGATAATAGCCTATAATATCCATAAAATCTATCGTGTAAATATATGGGGAGAAATATAAAACATAATAATGCACAATACAAAGCATAAAAAGAAATAAAAGTAACTTTCCATGCGGGTATCCGTTTATACAACTACTTCGTCAGGTCACTGATTAAAATTGGCTTCGAGCAAGAGAACCTCATAATTCTTGAAGAATAATATCCTTCATCAGATGTCATAGATTAGGAATTCAGGAAAACAAAGAATTTCACCAAAAAGCATCACATGAAGTCTTTTCAACAGAAGCAAAACCTAAACTTGATTGAACATAATTACATAATCTAGATAGAGACTTTCCACGCTATATTAAATAAGTTTCATGAAAAAAGCCCTTATCAATGTTATAAAGAGCTATAATATTTAGTGGATCTTAATTATGTATTATCCTGTAAAATCTTTCAGGGATAAAAATATTAAAACCACAGTAACGCTAGCTGGTAGGTCAATGACTACTGAATGTTTCCTTATAAGTTTGGGTTTATATTACTATCTCCCTTTCCATTCGAGTAATTACCTGAAGCATCTTTATATAACACAGAAGAAAGAAAAATAAAGCGAAAAACTATATAATGATACCCACATGACATCTGTAAATGTTCACTTCATATGTCCTCTTGTTCTTTGAGGATATTCGATACAAATCAAACCTGACCACATGGATGTGCACATAACAGATTACATGCTTTCCAATATTGTAACGTTCAGCAAGTATACAGATCTAGTTGATGCATATCAAACAACAGAAAACAATATCCATCGGTTAGCCACCTTCATGAATTTGTATTGGTACATTCTTCTTGATATTATCATTTAGTTTAAATACTTATCTATAGCATCTCATTATTTTGATATCGCAAATTATTTTATTTAATAATAACAACAACGGCGTGAAAGCAGACGATAGAATAAGACCAAAAATTCTGGTATTAAACAGTTATAATTTACTCTACTGGTAAAGAAAAGAACGTTATTTTGTTTGCAAATAGCAGTAAACAATATATAAAAATAAAGATTGTGACGATCTGATCGATAATATTTCAATAAAATATTTTTGCAATAATGTTCTTATCTACATTTTATATATTAATTTATTTAACAGAATATACAAATGAATATATAAAATATAAATTATAATATTTTTCATAGTTTCTCAGTGCTAGTATATCATCACTGACATTGGGAAACAGAATTAGCAATGGTTGAATGAATTCTAACTGAGGTTGTTTGTGTATAGTTCTTGCTAATTTCCTTCGTGAATATATCAATATACTTATGGAAATAAATCAGAAACATGGAGACTCTTCCTGTGTCTCATGAAATATCATGCAACATTATTTTTCCATATTACATTAAAAAGATGAGGCAATATTTCCTCTGTTGCTATGAAGAACCAAACGATGATATAATAAATGATGGAAATTTTTTTAAATATGTTTAAGTTAGTATTTGTAAATATGTATCAAACATTCAGTCGACTGATATCAAGACAGACTAATTCATCAATAATTGCTGTTTTGGGAAATAATTTATGATATCAATTTTTTCAAACTAATTTACCATTTTTTAAATATATTATAAGAAGTAACGAAAATGTGTTACATTCGACAAGGGTCAAAGCTAAGGATAGTGAATTAGCAACGATAAATCTCCATAGAAAAATGGAAATAAATGTGTGGTGATATCGTTAGGCTAATATCCTTTTACATATCTAAAAAATGCAGTGAAACTCTACATACACATATATGCATCCAACTACTCTACCATGCTGATAAATTCGGTTGTAAACCTGTCCTGCGTTAGTCAACAAAAAAAAAATTCTTCACATCCATGGAAACGCACGGCCGCATACAACCAAACACAGGAAATAATTTCGGTTCTTGTTTTCTTAATTCATGTTCTTTTATTGTCCACTATCCTTAATAATTTTTATTTTTCACATTATCTAACACTAAGAGTTATCCGTAAACATCAAAACCTACAGATGTTTACTTAAAAGTTATCAAAGAGCTGTGTGTCATTGCAAAAATAGTGAATATATAATTGAATAAAATATAATTTCATTGGAATTCATAAAAACAAAAACTGATAATATTTTTGACAATATCTTTTCTGTAATTAGACCTTTTGCCCTTTTTATTTTCAATTTACCAGCTTCTTGTTTCAAATGAAAGGACTAAATTTATCAAGCCTCGCCAACTACACAAAACTAAAACTTGGAAAGCAAGTCAGTTTGAAATGAACAATGAATTTGCACTCACAAGAGAGTAATGGTTAGTATTCATGTCACGCAAGCTATTGACAGTGACTTTATTCCTAACCGGTGGCCCTATAAATACGGTAATTAGAAACACAGTCAAACCGAAAATTTCTTTTACGATACATGCCTATTCAGTAAATGTTTGTATACGCTAGCATTTATTTTACATGTGGTGTTAAAACTACATACACATTAACCTGATAGGCAAACACTTTTACGCACATCCGCTGTGCGTGTGAAAGTTTCTGTTTGGAAGCAATCAACCGGAAGTCTCAATTAAGTGGTCAGTATGCGAAAAAGGACCGTTCAACTCAGCGATATCAGCTCTGATACAAGCCACATGATCCACATACGTGACCTCATAACAAATTAATCTCGTCTAATAAGCGTCTGTTCTCACTTGTTGCGCGAAGATTGTGTTTAAACTTTCTCACTTGTAATTATATTGCATGCTCAAACAAATTCAGTGGCATGCTTTTTCTTAACCGAAACAACCAAGATTTGATTTCTTCAAAGAATGAGAAAGGGTCAATAAGGCTGAAGATAAGAACATTGCCGATAAGAATTTTTGGTTCGTTGCATAAAATATTAATGTAGTGATATTCGATATATTTACAAGTATATAGTTTTATGTCAGGTATAGAATCTACTATATGGCTTCGTATTTTCATGACTTAATTAAATTGATTATTTTCAAAAGCTTTGAATATATATATATATATATATATATATATATATATATATATATATATTTACAGCAGATTCATAATTTTTCACTTTTATTCATTGTTTTGTATCTGACTTAGTCTTGTAATTTTTTTATGGACTGTTTATTCCTATTCATTTTCTTTTACATCAATGTTGTACTTATTGAATTATCATCAAATATGGAATTTTTATATTATCTTTTGTTTTATATTAATGTTCTCTTTCTGAAGTTTTTGTTCGTCTTTGCCATAACAATTTGTTCTGATTTATTCTATATAATTTTGTGGATTTTTTTTTTTTGTTCATCTACCCATTCAATTATATGACTATGTTTTCATTAGATTTATAGTTTCGCTCTTTATCAGATTCTAATCTTTTCCCTCTACACTCGTTTCTCTCCTTATACTCTCCCCTCATCTTTCTCTCTATATTTACACTCGCCTTTCTCTCGCTACACTCTTCCCACTCACTCTATCTCGACACATATACTCCCGTTTCTCGCTACACTCTTCCCACTCACTCTATCTCGACACATATCCTCCAACTCTCGCTACCTCTTCCCTCCAACTATCTCGACACATTTACTCCCGTTTCTCCTACACTCTTCCCCAACTATCTCGACACATATACTCCAACTCTCCTTCACTCTTCCCACCAACTATCTCGACACATATACTCCCGTTTCTCGCTACACTCTTCCTCCAACTCTCGACACATATCTCCAACTTCTCGCTACCTCTTCCCACTCCTATCTCGACACATATACTCCCGTTTCTCTTCCTCTTCCCAACTCACTCTATCTCGACACATATCCTCCAACTTCTCGCTACACTCTTCCCTCAACTCTATCTCACTCTATACTCCAACTTCTCTCTACACTCTTCCCACTCCTCTATCTCGACACTCTTCTTCCAACTCTCTCTCTTCCCTCTACACTCTTCTCCAACTCTCTGTCCCTCCTTTCTCCTTGTTTTTCACTCTATCTCGCATCTTTCTTTCAATTTTGACGCTCCTCTTCCCTTCTATCTCACTAACTTTCCCGTTTTTCGCTTACTCATCCTTCACAGTTACTTTCTTTTCTTTGTCTCCATACTTGATTGTTTCTCGTTACAACCTTCCCATCAATAGTTCTCGACACATATCTCCCGTTTCTCGTACACTCTTCCCAAAATCATCTATCTCAACGTGGAAATTTAAATTAGAGCTAAAAAGAAGCGCCCTCCTCTATCTCGACACACACAAAATAAATCTAAATAAATCCCTAAAAATCCCGTTTCACCCCGTTTCCAGTGGCTAA